ATATATATATATATAATATATATAATATATATATACATCTATATATATATATATATATATATATATATATATATACATATATATATATATATATATAAGCCCAGCGGTTGATAACTTATTGACGTCTTTTATTGTTTATTAGACATTTTGAGCGTCTTTTTTCAAATGATATATAATTCAATATGAATATATAATATATATAATATATATATAGGCCTATATATATATATATATATACATATATATATATATATATAAGCCCAGCGGTTGATAACTTATTGACGTCTTTTATTGTTTATTAGACATTTTGAGCGTCTTTTTTCAAATGATATATAATTCAATATGAATATATAATATATATAATATATATATAGGCCTATATATATATATATATATACATATATATATATATATATAAGCCCAGCGGTTGATAACTTATTGACGTCTTTTATTGTTTATTAGACATTTTGAGCGTCTTTTTTCAAATGCTATATAATTCAATATGAATATATAATATATATAATATATATATAGGCCTATATATATATATATATATACATATATATATATATATATAAGCCCAGCGGTTGATAACTTATTGACGTCTTTTATTGTTTATTAGACATTTTGAGCGTCTTTTTTCAAATGCTATCACATATATACCTAGTATATTTTATTATACCAAAGATAGGCCATTAAACATCTGGAGAAATAGACACCGACGCATCACCACAGCTTATACACAACTTCTTTCTCAATAAACTGTTATTATTACTATGTTAATTTCAACAGCAATCTTAATGCCAGAACGGTTGTTTTACACAACAAGTGTTGGCGATTCGAGTTCAGTTATCATGAAAAAAGCCAAAGAATACCAAGACACTGAAAATCTTACTTGGATGTTCAACGGAGATTTCGTTGAAGACTTACAATACGAAATTGGTATAACAGATGTGATATTTAATATCAGCTCTGCCGAGCTACAGTACGCGGGAATATATGAGGTTTACCAATCAAACAAACGATCGTCGGGTGTTTCCTTCCAAGTACAAATCATCGGTAAGTGTATGTGTGGAAATAACAACAAATGTAATAATATAACAACAATTAATGATAAATGAATAATAACAATATTATATTGATATTATTAATAATAATAAAATAATAATTAATATTCGATGATGTTTTTTGCTTCAGGAGTTATCACGACCTCCAGATAACTAGCTATAACCAGGCCAGTTATCTTGAGGTCGTGGGTTCGATTCCCATCGAAATCAAATCCGAGATTTTTTTTCAAGTACTAAGGACTTACAAAATGTCCACAACTTTAATTCCTGGTCCGAGTAAGGAGAAATTATGGAGTTCTTAGAGCCCCGTCGTAGCCAAGCCACTACCACTAAGTTCATTATGGCTATGTTCTCACACGACTACTAACGATTAGCAGGATCCGGATCCTGCTAACCTTTAGCTGCCGTGCGTCCATACGAGAAAATCCCGATCCGGATACCAAAAATATGATGATCGAATCACTGGCGAATAAGAAACTGGAAATTTTAAACGCGTATGTGTGATTGGTTTTGATGATAGAAACGCGCTCAACTTGCTAACCGATAGCGCTTGCTAACCGTTACCGGTATCTGGATACTGCTAACGGTTAGCGCTAACCGATCGGGCGTTCTCACGCAGGTGCTAACGGTTAGCTCCCGATCCGGATACTAGGGCTCTCGTGAGAACCAGGCTGGTAACAGTTGGCAATATTTTAATGATGCCTTACATCATCCCATATTTATTTTTTCTATTTATATTATGATATATGTATTTAGACATCAAACCGTTAATAACATCAGAATGTAATAATTAATTACGTAATCATAATGTATTGATTTTATTATATGTTGGCAGAATGTCCACCAAATAAATTCAACCCTCCTAACTGTGACGGTGATTGTCCAGTATGTTACAACGGTGGAGTGTGTGACCTTAAAAAAGGCGCTTGTATATGTCATCCTAACTTTATTGGCACAAACTGTGAAAAAGGTAAGATGCTGTACACAGGTTACCAGACAACGAAATAAGTCTGTGACTCGTAGCAATAATAAAGACAATAGACACAAAATGTATCAAATATTTCAACCGCTCTTTTTATATAAACATGTATATAAATGTCCCGATAAATGTATATAATTATATAGGCTTACCTGTAA